TTGTTATCGTCCGTAGAAAATGTTCATTAACAACCTGTTTTTTTTTTTTTTAGTCTCCCAAAATGAAATCAGTCTCCCAAATTCAAATACCTTTATCGCTATTTGACCAGTGAAATAAAACAATTCCTACCAGCAGTTGCATATTTTATCGACTTTGTTTCATTAGGGTATTAATTTTTTAAAAATATCAGGTAGAATGTTCATCGTACTTCTTTCATGAACCTAATTAAATAAATAATTTTTCGTTCAAGTTGATATAGTCAATATTTAATTATTTATATGTTTTTGGAACCAGTAAATAAGTCATGAAATATTATTAGCGATACGCAATTCCTTTCGCCTTCCAAAAAAGTAGGAGTAAAAAAAAACAATTTTTTAACAATTCCAAAACGATAAACTATTGGGTGTATTATATGTTTTGGTTTTCCTGGCTTCGAATTAATTTTACATTTTTCCATTTAGTTTAGAAATTTAGCTTCCGTAGAGACTTTTAATCTCTACTTTTTAGTATTATTTTTTCAGAAATTTCTAGTAATTCGTTTATTTATTGAATACTGTACTATATCATGTATATTATTTTGTCTAAAGTTCTCCGCTTTTTTAGCATTGTATTATTTCTATGTATTACCGAAATTTTGTTTTAAAGTAGGTAGATAAAGCATGTTTCCTTTTTTCTACATTAGTTAAGCATAATATTACTTTGTTGCTTGTAATTAACCGTTTTTTCTTAACTTTAATAATGAGGGACGGATGATTATTGAAAGTAAACAAAATCGAAGGTATATTAGAGGAGAAATAACCCTTGCCAGACTATTTTAATGAAGAAAGTACGCCCCTGAGATTATATGCTACTCAATTTAATACTGATAAAATGAATTGAATCAATATTGTTAGAGCCCTTTTCAAGAACATTGTAAAACGGTTTAAAATCGATGAATTAAACTGCCTCCAATACAATCTCTTATTACTAAAAACTCCTGAAATATTATTTCATGATCTAATAGAAAATGTCATGCTCTTTTCAGTGGTATGTGATTATACTAGAATATTTGGAGAGAGATTTAAGCAAATTTCAGTTGTATTTGTAACTAATAAATTAATGTTTATTGTATTGTCTTTAAAGTGTAATAAAACTCTCCAAACTCAAAATCCCACTAATATTATTTTTGCATTTGGTAGTGATTTTCATGCAGTTTTCACTAATATATGGTTTGGTATTGGGTAATATTTGGTATTGGGATATTTTGAGAGACATTTTAGCTAGAGGTAGTTTTATTTATTTTATCACTATTTTGAAAATTTATGTTTAAGCTATTTTTTATACATGAAGAAAAATTATAATGCTAAAAATTATAATATCAGAAGATTCTGTATTAAATTAATGACTAGTAGTAAATTTTGAAAGGTCTAGGTCAATGAATATTGGTTCTAAAAATGAAAACCAAGCAGGTACATGCTGGTTTTGAGCCCAAACTATCTTCCCAACTTAAAATATTTCAAACGTATAAAAAGCCATAATTCTGAAACTAATCGTTAGAATTGGCTAAAATTTGGTATTTTTACTTACATGTTTATTTACTTAATATTTACAAATTTTTATTAAGATCTGAGGGGGGTGGGTTACGGTCCCTGGGTGATTTGGTATTGATGACCCATTCATTAATTAGTGGTACTGACTCCCTCCCCTTTTTTAATTATTAACACTCATCTAAAATCTTGTGGATGGCCTTATTTTATATTAACCTACAACTTTTATAATTACAGAGATTCTCATAATCATCATTTGCAGCCATTCCAGATCATTTCCAAAAAAATCATCAAGTATCCTTTTAGATAATTAAATTTGTGAATAATTTGATGAATTTTCTCATTGTCAAATCCCAATATTTTCATATTACAATTAATATGACAACTTTTGACCTATCCATGGCAAGGCAATGAAAATCTCGTAATTTTGTTTGCGTAAACTTTACAATGAAAAATAACAGATTAATAACTAATAGTCCTTCGATCCTTAATCATTTATTCCTTTGTCGATTATATTCAACGAGAAAGTAACAATTAATTTCTCTATCTTCTGATACGTTACATTATTTTATTTTCCTATTAATTTGTTATTTGATCACTGAACAATATACTGTGTGAATAATTGTTTAATCATTATTAGCAATTAACAACAGAATAATGTCATCAAAAATTAATATTGTACAGAATACTAGGTTCATTAATTGTGGCTTATATCCATTTTTAACTTTTTTTTTTAAACAACTATTATAGAACTAAATTAGAAATTACAGAGATTAAACTTGTTTGATAGAAAATCGTTTAATCTCATGACAATCAAGTAGCTAATTTCAAAACCGTTCAAACATTCAGAAGTATTATGCATCTATTTATGTTTCTATTATCTACTATCAATAAGTAATCTACATTACAATTTGGTCAGCATTTTCTTCTTACAGCTCATTCCTTAATACTTTCTCACATATGTGCTTCTTTTCTGTTAGTTGCATCTACTGAATTGTAATGAGTACCAATCTAAAACCAAAACTGATAATTAATAGAAACAAGGTACCTTCCTTATTCCCCAAACACTCCTTATACTCAATACAAATTATAATTATTAACTGATAAGGAGTGTTATTATTATATTTATCTTTGTTATTATACTTATAAAATATAAAATATACAGAAATCGAATTGCTTCTCATTTCTCTCTCATCCACCTCATTTTCAATCTCTTTAAGTTTCCAAACATAAATGAGACCATTCGATTTATACGCCAGATGCTATATGCAAGTAACCTGCGGTGAATGTGAAGCCCAACGTATTTCCTATTTTTTGTAATAGGGGAATTTGAATACAACGTCGAGTCACTGAATAACTAAGTAAGATTTTAGAAGAAAAAAAAAATTAAGAATGGCTACTGGAAATGATATCTTCATACAGCTCTAGATGTATCTGAAATTTTTCACAGACATTTTGATCAGGTGATGTAAATAAAAGGAAACTCCATAGATAAAAAATACCTCCCTTTCTAATCTAAAAAAGTAATAAAGAAAAAAAGAGAGAGAGAGAGAGAGAGAGCAAAAGGCAAAAAGAGAGCGGGAGAGGAACAAAACGTGAAATACCGTCCATAAGCACCTTCACGCATGGAGGAGCAAACGGCTCAATGGTGGGTCCATATTGAAACAGCGTTGTGGGCGGATATTGGGATGTCGGCTATAATCGAAACTGCAAGTTCCTTCTCCCCCTCTCCCCTTTGAGACGTTCATAAAACATCAAGAGAATGGCCATTCCTCCAACAACAAAACTTTTTTTCACCGAAAGGCTCAAGAGAATCGGCGATGAATTAACCTTTATTTTCGGAAAGGGAAGAAGAAAATTCCCAGACACGAGGGAACAAATTTTATTCCAATGTTGAATTATATTGATCGAGCAAAATAATACAATCAACTCAATAGAACCCATTTATGAGCGGGGTGGTCGACTGAGATAACGCGTGAGCACAGCAACGCGTTGCCCCGCAACCTGATGGAAGATAATTTGATAAAATAATTACGAGTTCGCGTCACGGTGGCAAGACAGCTTTTTTAACTCTGACATTAATCCTCCGCCCTCATCCCCTGACCGGGGAAATTCCCGTCTAGCGTAATAGGCGAGAAATGGAAAGACAAAAAAATAATAATAAGAAACAAAAATATCAGGTGCGCGCAACACACAACTTTCACTTACAGCTCTACTTAGAATAGAAATTATTTTCTGGCAATGCTGGGCTATTATAAAATTTTTGAAGTGCATTTTAAACGGATCTAAAGCTTAAAGCTTACAGATAACAAATCATTAAGGCCATTGTAATTACAAAAAGTCTATTCATTATATCGATGGCAGGAAAAAAAAAATCTAGTCACTCCATTTACTTTTATAAACCACACAACTTCATTCTCTAAGTTGACAGAATGACTAACTCCAATTTCAAAATTTTTTAGTAAAGCCATTTTAGTAATACTTCTAGTTGAAAAAGTTATCTATACAAACAGTGAGTAAGTTGATTCCGGAGTAGATTATTGCAGTGTTGAAATATAGAACTGTGAATTAATTTAGTACTTCAAATATTAATGAAAATGTTATCATATGAACCAACATGTTTACAAATTTCAATAAGCTGCATTTTTGCTAATAATTGTCCAAGTTCCATGATTTTTTATTCTTTTGTAGGTAATATAGAAATATTTTATCATGGATGTAAGAAAAATGTGTATATTATTTTAGTTAATGGCTAATGAACGAGAAAGAAACTTTCAAAATTGGTGGCTTAATCTTGGGATTCGATGAAGAATTAACGATGATAAAGACCTCTCTCGATCATAAAGACCTCAAAGGACGAAATGAATTCCATAGCAGCACTACAATTAATGTGGGGACTCTTTGCCTTGCATTATCTCATAAATAGTGCGTTTTTATGCTTAAAACGCAGGGCCCAATAGTTCCGATGGAACTATCCGGTTCTTGGTGTACGCATCAAAATCTTCAAAGCTCAATTTGTTCCGTATCAATATACAGACTTATCACCGTTCCAGTATTGAATCATAATAAATAGTGTATATCGAGTTTATTTATTTTAGAAAAATAAACAAAAGCGGAGTGTATGATACGGTCAAGCCCTGTGAAATCCTGAATCCAACGGTACCCCATTCATTGTATTTGAGCATGACAGGAGCTTATATTTGACACAAAGCCGATTTCGAGCCTTACTGTAATAATATATGTGGGGATTGTTGTGGTATTAAAATAAATATATTTAGTATAATTTAAGCAAAAATAGATATAGCTAACACTAGTTACTCAGGTAAATGTCAGGATCTGATAAGGGTATTGAGGCCTTTAGCTCCTCAGTCTGTTAAGGGGTGCAATAAAGACGAAATTAGTGTGGTGACGTTAGGGAACACAGTCCAAGGTTTAGGATAGTCTGAAAGAGACGCTGGGAGGAACGGTCAGGCTTAGAGAGATCCTGAATGATGGTCCTCTGGTGTAGAGAGAGTCGGTGTTAGCAAGAAGGACTTCAGCGAAGCGGGCTTAAAGCCTTCCCTGATGGTGGTCCAGTAAAGATGATAGTCAAGAAGAGACATAGAGAAGACATCTGAGGCAACAGGGACACAAAGAGGAAAGCAGCTGACGATTACACTAACAGTCATAATATTTATTTAAATATTACATTATAAAATTATACACCCTTGTAAAATTACATTGTCAATTGACTGGCAATAAAACTGGTAAGTTCTCAAATATATTGGATTCTTCCAGAATGAAATTGTTTAATAATAAATTGTTTGAGGAACCGGTATTATACAAAAGATAATTACCGAAAAGATTGGTTTGAAATTAATATCTGCGTAGTTTATTCATTTGTTTGTTGGCCAATTATAACTTTTTTTATCAAATCGTTCTTTAAAAGGTAATGTTGATTTAAGAAAATATTTTTTCCTGGATTGATTGTTTTGAAACTAAATCTACCTCCTTTCATAACTGCTTTGCTTACAAAAAAGAAAAAAAAAACAATAAATAAATAAAATAAAATATTTTATTTAATTTTTAGGAAGGATTAAATAAGAAAATTTTCGACTAAGTCTGCAGCTATATAAGTACGGGGGATATTTAAAACAAATAAAAGAGGAGGAACTGAGTAGGCTAAAAATCACGAATAGGAACTGCTTCCATAAAGAGATTTGTGGGAATAAACTAAAAGAGGTTGTGGTTCTTGCGGGGAGGAGGGAGAGACGAAGAAGAAAATGGGGCTAAGGAAGAGCGAGAAGTCCAGTAGGATGAAGGAGTATTGGAGTGGAAGGAAGGCGGAAGGTGTGAAGAAGAACAAGAAATGATATTCGAGGGCTTATTGCTGACCGATTATTTCACAATGGTTTATTATTTCCAAACAATTATACATTTAAAATAACCCTTCCTAGTGACAAAGTGAAACAAATAAAAGGTTATTCCAATTATTGGACTAAACATTTTTTTTAATCATTAATAATTTGCTAAAAAAAATAGCATTACTTCAGTAAAAAATTCAAAAATCAATAAACCAAAACAAAGTTTGCAGTAGAACATAGGCGGTTAAGATTTTTTGTTCGATTACAATGGTTCATTATTGAAAATAATAAACCAAAAATAAATAAAAAATTATAATTTATAAAGCATATAAATTTTTATAGTAATCAGTTGTGAAGTGCAACTGGGTACATTAGGTGTGGGTATAATGTATTTTTTTTTTGTATTTTAAACACAAAATACTAAATGTAATTTGAATTTAAAATACTTTTTTAATTCCTTGATCGGTATTTTAAATACATTGTAATTAAAATAAGCTTCATTTTTAATAATACAAATACATGGTATCATAAATGCTGTATTTTAAAAAAATAATTAAAATCAATTTTACCCAGGTCTGTCTTATAGCTATGTACGAGTAAGAATTAATCCCTATTTCTAGCTCGTTCCTAATGTCCAGAAAAAAATTATATAAAGAACACAAAAAGCTAAGGCTATGAAAAAAAATTGGCCCCGACCACTGAGGCCTTCTGTAATATTAGAGGTGGTGATTTGGTCAGCAGAACACGTTGTGGCCAACTGGTGCTTTAACACAAACAGGCAGTTGAGTGGACTAGGATAATACCTATTGCACATACACCACTCATCCCCAAAGCTTACAGCCCTTTCCACCTTCCTTTATCTGTTATTGCTACTAAAGTTTGTAGGCCCTCTTTCGGCAGATCGTTATCAATTGTTTATTAAGGCTTAATAAAAAACGTAATTCTTCAAAATTTATCATTTCTATATACCACTTTATGTCTTATTGTAATGAAATAAGATTTAAAGTGATTAATAAACTGTCCTTAAGAAACTTGAGGTTTGTGAAAATCTACATATTCCAATTATAACCAAGTGCTCAATATAACAATTATTTATATTTACGGAAAATAATTACGAGACAGTTTAGTTCAATATTTTTATGTTTGTGCACATTCGAGGTTACAACAGATAGTGAAATAGGAAAAAATGAAAATTGCGAAATAGGACTACTAGATTATTATTACTTAAGTGTAGCTCGAGTCGTAATATCATCTCTTTACCTACATCGTATTTTATATTTATTATGTAAATTAAATCATTAATGAATAATTATATAAGATCATGTGAACAATAAAGTTGGATAGTGGCGTCTGTAATTACAGGTTATAATTATAATTGATCATACTCTGGTGGACGTACATTTCTCAGTAAACCACTTGGAATACCATCTCACGGTAAATTTTCTTATTTATGGTTACATCAGAATTCGCTAGAGGTCGCCAGTCCAAGTTCTCAGAGCTTTAGGTTTCAGATTGATAAAGACATGATGGTTTTAAGGAAACAGTTCACCAAGCGTGCATCTCACACGTTTTAAGATCTTACATTTTGTTACATGATTTTAGAGACTTTTATTGCTATATTTGTGGTATCTTCCTTATCTACTATTTTACAAGGTTTTCTTCTTATTGGAAATCCTAATAGTTCCTAATATATAATTAAAAATATCTATTAGATTATTGTATCCAACAAAGATTGGTTTTAAAATGGATTAACAGAAGTTCATATATTGGCAAATCTATTAGTTTTCTGTTTTTTCTTAAACAACCATAAAGTATGAATCATAATATATTTAGCCTTTTATGTTCGTATAATCTTCAACATGAGAATTGTATAGGATCAGAATACAAAACGTATAATAATGCAATAAATATACCATAAAATATAGAAATAGAAAACAAATATACTATTAGTGCAGCTTCCTTTTTGTTAGTGTTCGGTGATCCAACACCTTACAGTTTGATTTTCGATCACACCTTGTTAAGTCTGTGGATATGTAAAAATTATATTCAGTTAACAATACATTTTTTGTACCGCCACAAATGTATATGAATTCATTTGCTTTTCAAAAGTTTTGACAGGTTTGAACATTTTTTAAAGATTATTGTGCGACAATGTAACATGTGATGTGCTATAATTTGTCTTCATTTAGTGGAACTTCTGAAAATCCGACTAAATCAAGACAAATCAAAGCAAATCACATTTACCCTTCGACGTGAAACGTGCCCTCCAGTTTTCCTTGAAAATACACTGATTCCACAGACAGACACCGTTCACTACCGTCACATTTGACCGAAAAATGACGTGGGGCCCACGCTAAATCAAAAAACGCTAAATCAAATTTTGAACTCACTTCTTTCGAAACATTCAAAACTAAAACTTAAGACAGAAATTGAACATAAACAATTACTTACTAAAACTTATTTGGATTTACGCATCACAGATATTTGGAACTGCTAAAAAGACTCACATAAACAAACTTCAAATCTTTCAAGCAAAAACATTTAAGACAATCACAAAAGCATCTTGGTACGCGAGCAACATAAACTTACATACTGACCTCAATATGCCGACTGTTAACGAACAAATACGAACCCAAAGATTCCACGACAATTTACAATTTACATCCTTACACACTCATCAATGACATCACCACTACGCAAATGCCAGGTAACTTCCACGGGAAGCTGAAGATGATCTGGATGAGGAACCTCTTCGCCTAATGTAGTTATCACGCCAGGAGGAGTTGCCGGTGGGTTCTGCTCTCTCATCATGGCTTACATGATTTTTTCCACTATCGTCACATTTACTGCTTGTCATTACCACCATGACTGGTGCGAATAATAAAAAGAAAAATAAAAGAAAAAAAACTTGGGGCTGATTCAGACTACAAAATCTAACCGAAATCACTGACGTGAAGTTCAGCCAGTTTGTATCATTACCTGATATGTAGGACTTGGACGACCCTCGAGTCTGTTTGCGTCTCTTGTGCGCTCTGTAGGGTTTGGATTTGTAGCTGATGATAACCTAGCTGTTTTACGCCCTATTAAAAAAACAAAAGATTATAAAGAAAATTCTTGTAGATATTTCAAGATCGAGACGAATTATTAAATCCATTGTACGTATTTGAGCCGCACAAGATGATTAAGTAAAGTATATTAGGTTTAAGAAGCAGAGCTTAGTTGCTAAACGAAATAATAATTAACGTAAGATTAAACGGAGAGAAGTTCTTTTGTATTCAACCTTAGAAGAAGTTAACTGCTAATAGGGAAGACGATTTTAAAAACAATATCCTTCGTAAAATCCTCGATGCTCCTTACGTTGTCACTAATAAAATCATCCATAAAGACCTTAACGTTCCTTATGTTTCAGATCTGGCCCAATCCAGATACCTATTCTTCCATAATAAACTTCAGAATCATCCCAACCCTCTCGTTTCTAACTTTGCTTCCTCTTCAATTCCTGATAACCCTCCGAGGCATCTGAAAAGAAGAATGCCCCCCATGATCTCCTAATTTAGTCATATCATTCGAGTGCTACCATTGGGTAGTTACTCAGCAAGTGTTTTCATGTCATTATATCCATTATGTCCAAATTTACTAGATGTATTTATTTAATACAGTTGTAAATGTCATTAAGAAATTTTAAAAAAACAATAGATTTTATACAGGATTTATCATATTATGAAAAACTGGTATTGCGTCAGTTCATCATATTAAATTATTTTTTAATTTTAGTTAATGCTGTTATACATGAATCTTGATTTTTATTTGATATTTTACATTTTTTAGCGTTCTATAAAATATGGTTCGTGTAATAAAAGAAGTAAATTAGAGGTAGCGAAATATTGATCCTCTATAAATGGCCTATGGTGAAATCATTAATGAGGAAAAAGTCCTGATGAGAGATTTTGGGCTGCCTTCAAATGTAATTTCGTTTAAAACTCGTAGCAATGCGTAGGAGGATTTTTTTTTCCGGTCGGGGATCAAAACCGTCAGGGAGACCTTCTCTTTGATCCGCCTGTAATGATTAATCCTTCATTTTTTCCTATCTTCCCGTCCAATTTTTGATTCCATTTCTTTTTTTGCCAATTTTATTTTTATTATTAAAATTTAATTTTAAATATACTTGTTATTGTGACATGTTAGAACCAAATAAAGTAATGTTAGTGATTACTCTATTATTAAGTCATGGTATACTCTATCAAGTAGCAGTTATTTTATTCATGGTGGTATCAAAATAATTGACTAATTAGTTCTAATTTAAGAAGAAGATTAAAATCGGGGATGAGGTCAGCATTCTCACACATAATATGTTGGAGTAATATTTATCGGATAGCCTACGTTTCGACATATGTTGTAGGTCTTCATCAGGGATTTAGTCCAGAAGTGGCGGAATACCTAAAGGAAATGAAGAAAACTATTTTACATTAGAAACACATCAGAAAGACTTATTGCAATTGAATGTCTTGATGCAAGAACTAGGTAATTCCAGGATTGTGTTAATTAAATCAGTTAAATTAATTAAATTTAATTAGTTAGTCCATAAAAGCTTGTTTCAACTTCAAAGGTAATATGTATTCAAAAACAAATAAAGTGCGGACAAGTCTCCACAAATAAGATTTTTTCATAGCAGGATAACAGTTTCTTTTAGCTGAAGATGTTATCTTTCTTTCGTTTTTCCCCCCTGATATGAGAACTAATGTTATTGTTCCCGGGTTTTCAACTCATTGGAAAATTTGAACATACGTGGATCTTTCATCGAGGCCCTAAATTTAATGTAGTCAAGGCCGTAACATTTTTCCTACTGTCAAATAACAAAGAATGGTACTAGAGTTTATAATTCTAAGTGTGAAATATTGTTCACCAAAACATGACCGATTTTTATGTAAATTTTGTATATTATGAATGTCATTTAAATAAACTTATTATTAATGCCGTGATAATTTAACGTTTGGAGGTGTTGCCCGCTTTAACGTATCTTGAGGTTGAACGTAGAGTATGGTTACAAGAGATTCGGTAGTTACAAGAAAATTCTTCTCTCTTCCCCTTCCTCTTATGCCTATAAGTGGTTATATTAAAAAAAAAAAAAAAAAAAAAAAGGATTGGAGATGAATTATAAATTGATTTTTCATTTTTTAAGATTTACTATCCTTATTAGGTTATTGTTTGGTACCAGTAACTTGCTAATACTCTTAATTATGTGTGTAAAATTAGAAGTTTGTGGACTCGTATTTTTTTTCTGTTATTTAAAAGATTCAAGACTTAGGGTATCTTATGGAAATATTAGGTTCTGTTAAGTAGTTGTTATGGGCATTGATCAAGTTCTATCTCATCAGAATCGTGCCTGCGTTTTTCTAGACCAAGTTTTTCTTTTTTCTTCTGAATTTTACTATTGTAATATCTAAAACAGTTTTGTCGAGTATATTTGAATAATTTTGTATTCATTTTCATTTCTTTGTTTTCATTATTATTTATAAATATTTCATTTGGTGAAAAATGATTTTGGGGCGGATAGCGGATGCCGAAATCCTAGGAACCAGGCTAGGGTCACGGTCGCAATAAGCGAGGCCCATCGGCAATAATCCGCCGTGCACACTCCGTTTATTCACCACACGGACCAATATTAAAAAGTAATGCGAGTGTGGGCGTGTCGGTGTGCTATTTGCCAGCGTGTGTGTGTGTGTGTGTGTGTGCCTTCATCCCCGCGGCCTGGGATCTGACACGGAATTCCCAGAATTAATCAGACAGAGATCAAAGCCCCAATTACCCAGTCCTCTGGGGGAAAAAATTCCAGCGGGTAGCGAACAACAAAAACTTGCCCTAATCATTTCCTTAAATCCTCAGCAGCCGGATATTAATCAAAGTCAAATATCGCTCAGCACTTTTTCATACCTGCCTTAATGTCCCTGCCGTTCGTGAAAAAATCCCTGTGTGACTGACGAAAAACGCTTCCTATGAAGTTTTTGATTTGTCCTTTTTGCCCGATTTTAAATATTGGAAATTTAAATTATATCGTGTTGAGGTTATATTTTCTACCATTTTTTTACTAATGTATTTATACAATTTTTTTTTTAAATTTCCTTCCAATGTAATCCTGTGGGAAGGCCGCATGATTCTAAACTGTAACTGATTCCGTGCCACGAGGAATATTACCTATTTAATGATATTTATACTTAGTGAAAACATTACTTAGTTATGGAAACTGTATAGATAGAAATAAACTTTTAAAACAGTTAACGAAAATCATTGAATAAAGATGAAAAAACAAATTACATAAAAACAACTAAGTAAAAAGCAAAAGAAATATTAAATTTTAATTAGTTGAATTAATTCATAATTCAACAAGTTCAAACTAGGGAGCGGGGTGGCTGGATGGGCTAGTGCGTGTGTTCAGCACTGCGAGTTGCCAGGCAACCAGATATCCGAATGTTTAAGATTAGAAAAAAAGAACGACTTCGCGTCCCGGTGGCGGAGTGGATTTTAAATCCCCCTTCCCTCACGCTCAGATCCGGAAAAAACCCTTATTGCCGAAAAGGCGGGGTAGGGAAGAACAATATAAAAAAAAAAATTTCCATTAAGTTTATGGATAATTATACTAATGGTAGTCAATGATAAAATCCAATCAAAGTAGAATAATTTAAATTCATTACATACTACTACGAACAAAAGATAGTAGGGGCCGATGTTCTGATTTATTAACTCGATTATGATTTTTTATATATATATAAATATATATATATATACATATATATCTATATATATATATATATATATATATATATATATATATATATATATATATATATATATATATATAAATATAACGACGCCGAGCGTGGTTAGCACTTGGATTGGTGACCGCCCACCAGGGAAAGCCACGCTATACGAGATTCCCCTCCACCCCCGGGCGTAGGACTAATGACCCTGCCGCCGTATACTTAAATTGGGAATCGGGATGTGGTCTAGGAGACCACATCTCGTGGACAAAAAAAAAAATATATATATATATATATATATATGTTCTTATTTTCTTTTAATTATAATATGTCATATATGTATTGTTTTCATATATTTTAATCTGTATTGTATTGTAAGAAATGTCTCTGTAATAAGAAAACGATTTAAAAATATTTAAGTTTAACGGAAGGTTTTTTTTTTTTCACACGCCAAGATTTTGTTTAACAAAAGACAATATATAAATACAATTATAGATATATATACAATTTTCAAAGTTCTTTTTTTTTCACGAAGGTATTTTAAGGTAAAGGGCTCTGCATTCTGCATCCATATTTTACATTTATGGGCAGAGGCCTAAGTTTAACGGAAGTATAATTTTATATTTTGATTGAAAATGGCTTAACTGGGCAGGACGAAACTTAGGTTGAATTATACGATTTTTTTAAATTGATTTTTACTGTTATCATTAAAATGAATTTAACCTACAAATATCACTCGCGATTGTCAGTCCAAAATTTTTCACGATTAACTTACTGGACAACCAAACCCACTGGTACAAACATTACTGACCGACACTCTAAGAAGTGACTCAACGCTTCTTTAGCAGGAATATGCTACATTAGAATTGTACTTCACTAGGAGTGCCTTCGTTTGATAGGTTTCTCAAATCGGCATTAAAGTGAACCCCATAAAGAAGGCCCCCCTCCCAAAAAAGAATCACTAAAAAAATATGCCGAAAGGTATTTATATGCAGTTATGTCTTACGACAATCATGTGGAAATAGTATGGCACCACCTAGCTCGTTCTATATACTTTCGGTAGACATCTGGTTTGGGATGTCGCGGACCATTTAGAAGGGTGAAATGGGTGCCCTAATTTTCTTGGCCTCTACCTGAACACTTTGTTTGTCCCCAACGAACTCAATCAGTGATCCCATTGGCCGGCCGTGCTGGAAGGCCGGTGGGCAGGGCCGTTTTCCGACCCGTTGGCTCCGCCTAATAGGGCGAAAAATTACAACTAACAGGGCGCTATTGATGGAGCTCGCCGACCGTGAACACTCCCGCTCTTTACTGCATTCCTATCTGTCATTAATCAACCCCCGCCTTCGATTAGTGCCTCTCCCAACTTGCCATTTATTATCTTTAATTATTTTTGCATTGGCACTTTGGGTTTTGGATGGGTTGCTACGCTCATTGATATCATGTTCTATGGCGCTTGAGTAACTTGATGAGCAACTAACTAAATGGCTGTTGAATGTTATACAAATAATCCTCTAATGATATTATGTTTCAAAGATATAAAGTTCTTTGAAAATATTTCACATCCATCACTTTTCCTATGATTTTGCTTTCACTTACCTATATATGAAATATATAGTAAAGGAAAATATTGCGATCGTGAAAATTTTCGAATCTCAGTTTTCAACAGTTAACGAATCGGAGACAGTGGAGACTTTAGAAGTAATGTCTTTATTCATAATGTTACAAATGACATCTAAAATATAATATAAGTAATATAGTATGGATGTATGATTTGACTACATCAGTTCACTCCAGGTCTCCTACAGTGAAGAGTCTGACTCAAGAATGCAACTGTATCAGTCAGTTGGTCTGTGGATCATAGGGGTTATATGCTCAGGAATAGTAGGGGGGGGGGAGGTTGAATCAATTCTGGACGGTCTAGGAAGCGTGTGAATGAAGTTAAGAATTGATATCCTTATCTTTTAGAATAGATATGAAGTCTGTGAGAAAGTGCTCGTTTGTTGAAATCAATTATTGTTTAGTATTGATATGAGAGAACGGGGCCTTATTCTGCAATCTGTTATTGTCCCCCAATATCTGTTGTTGATAAATGGTCTTATTGTGTCCTGTCAGTACATTCTAGATAACTATTTCTAAGCTATCAGAGATAGCTTGACCTGGCTATCTAGGGCTTTGATAAAGGTCATGCGAAAGGTCAATGAATGATTAAATGATTAAATTAAATAAAAGTTAATATTAATAGTTGTTACGGATTAAGTCCATTCCGTAACTAACGAAAATACACGTTTTGAGGTCCCCGAATCCAAACAACTAAGTCCCGCAAAATGGTCTCTGTGTTTGTTAACATTCTACCTCAGAAACGAAAAGTCCTGCGAAAGTGAAATTGCATATTTAAGGTTTCTATATGCTAGGGATGTTACAGCAACTTTTTCGTCAAAATCGGCTTACCGGAAGTGGCACTTTATGTAATGGACTTAACAAATTTTTACGATTTTCTTGAAAACGACTCTGACGATTTTAATTAAATTCCCCATATCAGTGTAAAATTAAGAAGTTTTAAATGAAATGCAGTTTTTATTCTGATTGATGTTCTCTAACAGTGCTTAAATTGCTAATTTTCAATATTAGCTTCCCTTAAAGTACCTTTAATTTTTTAATTTAAAAAAAAATACCATTTCACATTAATTGTTAATATAAAATATATTTAAATATAAAATCTGAAAGAATTTAATCATTAAATAAAGGAGAAATAAGATATCGTAACGCAGAATAGTTGTCATTGAGGAACCAAAGAAATACGGGCGTACCCGAGTTCACCTGAAAGATTAGAACACGCTTTCATATGCAACATGAGCTTAATGTAATACGGGCTCTAACAATATTATGTAAATATACATATGTGGTTTTCATAAATGCTATTGTTGGCATTATTTAATATTTAATTTTATAGATTACAGCGATATAAATATTAAAATTTGTATATATACATATAAGGGTACTTATACAAATAAAAATACCCACAATGAAATATAAATAAATATTGTGTCTGTAATTTTTACTTTCACTTCCTCTTACTTTGAAAATACCTTTTCTGCTAAGAAGGGATTGACAAGTGAAAGTTGTGTGATGCGCGCACCGCACCAGTTGTTTTCTATTTATGGTAGCCCTTCAAATATGCTATCCGTTTAATGCAAAAAGTCATCAATTGACATTTTGTAACCTGAAGACCTTTGATGATTTTCTCCCTTTGTAAAATAAGAAAACCGTGAGCTTGGAGAAACTGTGTATGATAAACAAAAGGTGTGTGAATCATTTTCACGAACTTACGATGGTTCCTTGATAGATAAATAAGGTCGAAATTCACAAAAATATACATGAAACTTAAGCGAAATCAAAAGTTCACCCAGTGACTTTTTCAATAAATGGACGATACACCTGTGCCTAAATATGAAAAATTGTGATTGCATTCTTACAATTTCATTAATTCGAATTCGGCAGTTTCCTTTTTGACCAACTTAGCTATATTTTCCATCTTTAATTCAAGGACGTTTGGTCTTCCAGGATCAGTTCACAGTAAATGGTTGTGGATACGCCACATCATAGGATTCATTAAACTCGATCGACGTGAGTAAAATGACAGACTACTTGAATACACACCAATAAAGTTAGATAAGAACATTGTGGTATTTTTATCCTACAAATTAGATTTTATTCGCCGTACATTTGGTTACTTAATACGCTATTGGAAGGTGACAGTTTTCCTTCTCGTTTTAACTGTTTTTCCTGTAATAAGCACTGAGAACCAGTTGCAAGGGACACATCTTTCATCTGATCATGAGCTGTTATTTGAGATGTCTTTTCCCATTTTGAGAATAGGCAGTTTACTTCCTCCAGTTTACTTCTTTCACCATCACCTAATATTTATCGATAGATCTATCTGGTAGGAGGAAAGAACTAATTACTATACCTCATAGCATATAGTTCTTTCAGGATCCGCATACCTCAAGATAAACAGCATCTTTGTATATTGGCATAGCTGCTTCGTATCTTGGTCCTGAATAGTATCCCATTCTGTATTAAGTCATTCATTGGCCGTCTACAGAGAGACTCCGTGAGGCGTACATTGTTTTTGTGTGATGGCATTTAAGGGCGTTTATCGGTGTTGATATTTCCTGAATATCGTTCTAAAATTAATTATTAAACTATATCTTTTTTTACCCAGATGGTTTATGTTTGATATTCTTATTTCTTCAGGGAATATATTTTGTTCCCTGGGAGAGAAAATATCTCACGTGATAACTTCCATTTTATATATTTATATTCATTGTTTCGATAGACCATGTTGATCTTTAGTCGCGTGATGTTGTCTTCTTACAGACGTTTATTTCTTACAGCCTAATATCTCCATGGCGCATCGGCAGATATCACATAGCTCCATAGCCGATCCCTTTGAGGCAAGCCTGACAGTGTCCTTTCCTTCGTCATCCTAGGATTTAAGGACAATGAGAAATCTGTATAGATCCATGATTATAGATGCTCAACGTAAGCAAGAGCCCGAGTACTTATTGACATCCTGGAAAACCGCCACGCGATTCTCGATTAAAGTACTCGGGGTAGGATCATCCCTCTTAAACCGGGTCTGTGTTGGCTTTCTCCAGTAGTGTAACAAGCTCAAATAGCGGGAAATATCTCAAATAGCCGACGTTGCTTAATTTATTTATTTGCAAACGTCTGAGACATTTTGGCCCTCCTATAATTTGTACACCCATATCTCCCTTTTTAGATAACTTTTGATAAAGATACAATTTTTTAGATTTAGCTGGAACAGAGGGTACACTGGAAGCTAAGAAATAGCTGCTGTTGGGGGCACGCGATCTCCCAATCCGGCAGTTAGTTGCCAACATTGATCCTCCCCTTGGCCCATTTCGATTAAAAATGTACTCGCGTTTGAGGACGACCTTAACGAAATTGCTACTTCTGCATTATTTCTTTAACGAATTGGCTACTTCCTTGCTTTATAAATAAATGAAGGCAAGCTTATGTTTTCTTCACAGACAAATCTCTGCAAGGAAAAACGTTATACCTTAACTGCGGTCGAGGTTTAGGTGAATTGTATGATTGGTTTCTAATTTCTCAATTAGTTCTATATATATTCTTATTAAGTTCTTGTAATTATTAGTTTAGATATCTGAAAACTTAATGCTTATACCTCCATTTCAAAACCCGTTCTAAATTCCATATCCACTATAATTCGCAGATATAATGTTTCTTTTATATCTATAACTTAGTCATCTGTTAATCTTTTCACCAATGCAAAGATGTAAAAAATCTTTTTCTTTTTTAGTTATTTTTTTTTTAACTTTTATTATGATATTTACAATTGTATTAGTATGAATACATCTAGTAAATTTGTACAGAGAAATATTATTACATGAAACGCGCTTGTTGATAAACTACCCACTGGTAGCACTCTAATCTTTTTTAGTTAATACGCATAATGAATATTCACCATAAATTAAAGATACCAGTAATATAAAATATTATTAGTACAAATTTAGATAAAAATGTTTTTTATAAGTTATTCGAAAAATATTCGTTTTCTTTAAGTTTATATCTTACATTGAATACGCTTACAGATGCTAACTTGGAGGATACAAATATTTGATTGAAAACAAAATTTCTCTTAGAAAAATAATATTGTTTATTCACCCAAATGAATAATGAAAATCATTTAAGTGTACACATCAGATATTTAAAAATACAAAACTTGACAGTTGTAACTGACCTAATAAAAATTAACAATGTTTATTGTTTACAATTATCTAATTTCGTCTCTTATTTTATATCAATAACACTTCAACAATTCAATTTTAAAGAACATCTAGGGTACTAGTTACACAAAAAAAAAAAAAAAAAAAAAAAATTAGGGAAAATACTGTTTCTACGGTTGTGAAAGGAGATGATTTGACCGAGATCAGGCTAAACCGCCAGGTTTTTCCCCATAATTAATTATTTTAATTAAGAGTATCCACTTTATAGAGGCTGGGTGTGCGACAGGAGGGTTTACCTACCCACGGTAGCCTCACGGCCAATGAAACAGAATAAATAATTTTTCTGCCATGAGCTGGGATTCAAACCTGGGACCTTTAGCATTGGAACCTCAGTACTTCCTACCTCTGACCTACTCCACTCTCTACTTGTTATAAAAGAAGATATATGAAAAAAATTAAGATGGATCAGCAATGTTAGATATAATCGCGTCAAACTATACGAAGTTAACAATTTCAAGCACTAAAAACTTTGTCATATTAATATGTTGGCTATTTCTAAAAAGATCGCAGCTGTAGCTATTTTCTTGTGTGGTTTAGGCAAAGGAGTCGGAATTACTAATAATTTCATTTTAGCCCAAAATGTCAGTTAGAAGCTGGTCAAACCGAAATAGCGAATATATGTACATATACATTTATGTTATATGTATATTGCTACAGGTACATATATCCTTGAATGGCTGCCTGTATATTCAATAACTACAATATCTTGACAATGCAGACAGGAATAATCCAGTGTTTATGTGATAGGAGGTGTATGCTATCCGGATCACTCTGTAGTATAATCCTTCATCTGATTGCTATGAAGCTGTCTCCGTGCAGATGCTCCATCTCCAACCTCAGCCACGTTTAATATAATCCACTTATAATATAATAATAAATAAATAAATAAATATTATATATATATATATATATATATATATATATATATATATATATATTTACTCAGATTTACAGATTTACCCCTCTACAAATTATGTCCCTATGACTTTGCCTTTCGAGGATTGTTAAACTTTGCTACTTATAATATTTATTTGTAATAATTTGAGACACATAGAAGGCGTAATAAACCTTCCAATTAAAGATCCTACTTTCAAACTTTTTATTTTTATTTTTTATTATTATCTTCCTCTTGTTTTTTTAAATAAGTACACTAGGCAACTTCTAGCGTATACAACATTTTAGGATCGCGGTGAACATTAATGAATAAAATTCACTCTGTATAAGTCCCATTTGTATAATTAAAAGTGAAATCCAAAATCTTTTGACCAGTAATAACATATAAAACAGATTAAAACGAATCAACACTGAAAAATGATATTCGATGGCAAAAGAAGAAAAATGTTTTTATTTAGCACTATAAAAAAAAAAAAAAAAAAATGTATAACAGATTTGCCCATGACCCTTAAGAAAAGAGGCTAATGAATTTTAAAGAATAGAGGAAATACGTGTACCTTGTTAAACTTTTTTTCAATGTTCCATAACTTCTGAAATAACATTGATTTTTAAAAGTTAAAAATAGAATTTTATTTGTCATGGTTTGAAGATATTATTTAAATTTAAATTATTTTATCAACAGACTTTGACTATGGAAAAAAATCGTTTTTAAAAATAAAAAATGACCCAAGATACAATTATTATAGTTGTACCTTGGGCTACGAATTTTATCTTGAGCAATATTTGTTGTAATAGGTTGTAATGTAATTATTATTTAATAATAAGTACCACTTATCTGTACTGGTCAGCTAGCTTTTTCACGTTATCTGTTTGAAAACCAACAATATATTACGCTTGCAGTCAGTAAATAATGTTTTATAAACTTCTTCGGTGAAAACCAGGAGTCAAAGTTTTGTTTCTCAAGAGAGATATATATTGAAATTATATTAATTATAAAACAGTGGCCTAAGGTACAATGATACGACTTTTTTTAAATTAAATTTTTTAGCAAATTTCTAAAGTATTGTATTTTGCTTAGAGCTTGTCTTCAAAAGAAGCTAGAGAGGTTGTTATATATCAATCGACTAATAATTTTGAGTATGTTTGTGTACTTTTTTGATCGAAAATTATTATATCGAGTAAGAATAAATTACTTTTTCAGCTCTAAAACAGTCTTATCAATATTATCAAAAAACCGGAGCGGATCAGAGGCACCAAAATCAGCTGGAAGGTGTCTGGAAGTGCAGCCTACTTAATTTTGCCACATATCCTGAATTTTCCCTAGTAAAATTTCTTATTCTTAGGGTGGCCCATGATACACGCATCTCTCCGACCTATAAAGTATTTGATTTGATTCAAGTGACCCTCTTTTGGATACCTCCTGCGAGGATTAGAAGCTCCAACTTGCACACATTGCCTAGTACCCAGAACAGTAAAGCATATATTATTAGAATGTAAAAGGTACATAAGGAAAAAATTACAAATGGGAACGGGAATGAAAGAAGTTCTGCAAGATGAGGAAAACGAAATAGGAAAACTGTTCAAATATTTAAAATATATTGACTTTTATCAAGGAATATAAAATGGAAACATTAAGCCAAAGACCCTTAGGTGTAGAAGTTAAGTAAACAAATAAAAAAATTGTATTATTCTATTCAATAGAGACTTTGCATTACTAATTATTAACGTGATCACTTATCAGTGGTATCAGTGGTTAATTTTTGTTTTTATTCATAATAGTTAGGCTTTTCTAATTCATATTCGGAAATTCAAATACAATTTATTTTAGAACGGATGTTTTATAACTATTATATATAATATATTGTTAATAACACTAATTTCAGTACTGCTGAATACAGCATTATTTTATATATTTATCATGGGTGATAAATACTCAGGACGCAGTCATTATAAAGTTTTTATTGGTGCCGACGTTTTAACACAAACATGTGGGTCATGATCAGGGCGTGTTTCGAGCACTGATGATGACCCACATGTTTGGGCTGAAACGTCAGCACCAATAAAAACTCTATAATGGCTGTGTCCTGAGTATTTATCACCCAT